GTGTAGTGCCTCTTTTAGGAGCTCTTGTAAAGCAGGGCTGGTGGTGACAAAATCTCTGAGGACTTGCTTGTTTGCAAAGGATTTTATTTTTCCTTCACTTCTGAAGCTCAGTTTGGCTGGATATGAAACTCTGAGTTGAAAGTTCTTTTCTTTAAGAATGTTGAATATTGGCCCCCACTCTCTTCTGGCTTGTAGTGTTTCTGCCGAGAGATCTGCTGTGAGTCTGATGGCCTTCCCTTTGTGGGTGACCCGACCTTTCTCTCTGGCTGCCCTTAGTATTTCATCTTCATTTCAACCTTGTTGAATCTGACAATTATGCACCTTGGGGTTGCTCTTCTTGTGGAATATCTTTGTGGTGTTCTCTGTATTTCCTGCATTTGAGTGTTGACCTCTCTTGCTAGGTGGGGGAAATTTTCCTGGATGATGTCCTGAAGAGTATTTTCCAGCTTGGATTCATTCTCTTCGTCCCCTTCTGGTACACCTATCAAACGTAGGTTAGGTCTTTTCACATAGTCCCACATTTCTTGGAGACTTTGTTCATTCCTTTTTGCGCTTTTTTCTTTGATCTTGGTTTCTCGTTTTATTTCATTGAGTTGATCTTCGACTTCAGATATTCTTTCTTCTGCTTGGTCAATTCGGCTATTGAAACTTGTGCATGCTTCGTGAAGTTCTCGTATTGTGTTTTTCAGCTCCTTCAATTCATTCATATTCCTCTCTAAGTTAACCATTCTTGTCATCATTTCCTCAAATCTTTTTTCATATCTTTTTTCAAGGTTCTTAGTTTCTTTGCATTGATTTAATACATGATCTTTTAGCTCACAAAAGTTTCTCATTATCCATCTTCTGAAGTCTAGTTCCGTCATTTCATCACAGTCATTCTCCGTCCAGCTTTGTTTCCTTGCTGGTGAGGAGTTTTGGTCCTTTCTAGGAGGCGAGGTGTTCTGGTTTCGGGTGTTTTCCTCCTTTTTGCGCTGGTTTCTTCCCATCTTTGTGGATTTGTCCACTTGTCGTCTGCATAGTTGCTGACTTTTCGATTGGGTCTCTTAGTGGACACCCAGATTGTTGGTGATGAAGTATTTCTGTTACTTGGTTTTCCTTCTACCAGTCTAGCCCCTTCACTGTACGACTGCTGAGGTCCACTCCAGGCCCTGCTTGTCTGGGGTGCACCTATAGCGGCTGCGGAACAGTGAGGGATGCTACCAGTTTCTTTTTCTGCTATCTTTGTCCCAGTATGATGCCTGCCAAATGTCAGTCTTTTGGATATACAGGGGTTAGGGAGCTGCTTGAGGAGACAGTCTGTACTTTATACGAGCTGAATTGCTGAGCTGTGAGCTCTGTTGTTCATTCAGGGCTGTTAGGCTGCTATGTTTGATTCTGCTGCAACAGAGCTCATTAAAAAACCCCTTTTTTTCTCAAATGCTCTGTCTTGGGGGGTTGGGGCTTTGTTTTTGGATGTCTGTTGAGGTATCCTGCCCAGCTAGGAGGCAGTCTAATCACTATTTGACTGCCAAGGCTCCGCCCTGCTGTTGTGAGGTTCGCCCTGTTGCTTCAGGCTCTTGCTCTTCTGCTGCGGTCTCCGCCATGGGCTACGCCCTGCAGCGGACTCTCTCTGTTGTAGCGGGTTGCCTCGGCAACTGCAGGCTGCATCAGCAGTGGGCGTGTGTCTCAGTCGGGGTGGCTTGCCTCGGTAATGGTGGACATCCCTCCCCCATGGAGCGTCTCAGTGGCCGTCTGCACGGCGAGCATTTGGAATCACCGTTTTGTCTGTCCCACTGTGCTATCCCAAATGCTGTGTCCCTGCAATCCCCTGGGCTGGCCCACTGCCCAAGTCCCTTTCAGTCTCAAGTTCAGCCCTCTCAAGTCTCAGGTTGCCATTTCAACAGGGCACCCGGACAAGTGCACCCTGTGGGGATCGCTGGGTAGGGCCGGCCGCCGCCACCCCGGTTGCCAGCTTCTCCAGGCAGAGCCTCTGCCTGGTGTCCCACGTCTCCTTTATACTTGGGAATTTCCCCGTTCTGTGGGCAACAAAGATCAGTCTGAAAATGCAGCTCTGACTCACCTCTCCGCGGATTAACCGAGAGCTTCAATCCTGGGTTGTTCTCACAGCACCATCTTGAGTTCCTCCAAGTTTGTGAAATTCTGAGTGAAGCAGAGTTAAACATGCTTCTCCATGGCAATATTTCTCAACAACTTTAACGTGCTAATGTGCATCAAAACATTCATGGGAATTTCTATGTGCAGCATTGATCATTTACAAAAACCAACTCTTTTCCTGTTCCTTATTTTCAAGACATGTTCTACAGAATACTTTTGGGAAAATGTTGGACTAATAATTCTACTCTTGATGATCTCAAAGACAATTTAGTGTTTTCCATTCTACATGAAGTCTTGAAAGAATTGAGTTGACAATATGGTTCATATATAGACTTTTCATGAAGATAAAACCATGGAAAAACTATCATAATTTACTGCAAAAGGTGTTCCCTTCTTTTTGTAAGATGTCACTTCCTTTTTCATAACGTATCATTGTTGTACTATACAAACTCCTATGTGACGATATCTAGTTAAAATTCAGGCTCTAAGGAGCAACCAAGTGTAGGAGAGGATGGTTGGAAGTTTAAACCTCCTGGCATATCTAACATACTTTAACAACTGGTTGTAGATCCATGAATTAGCCTAAACTGGTAAAAGCTGTTTGTTGCTGAAGTTGTTCCAACGATTAGAGTAGTAAGTTCCAAAAGTTTTAATTCTTTTCTGCTGCCTTGAGGATGTTACCTAAATGCAATGTGCCTCAGCTTTCTTGTTTGTTAAGCAGAAATCATGATCATAGGGCTGTTGCAAGAATTGAATTAAAGGAGATAATCCAGCACAGTGTTTGGCACATTATAAAAATCCAAGAAATATTAACTATAATTTTTATTGCAAGAGGTAGTACTTTGCTTTTGCTTGATCTTCAATACCATCCTGCTTCATTTGCATGACATGATGTATGTGAATTACCTACCTCTGTGCCTAACTCCTACTGGACACTCAATTAAACTGGTAGTGAAGGTGGTTGTGTTCTTTATAAACAGTTACCTCCTAATTGGTTTGAAGCTGCAGTTTTCACCTTACAAAAGCCCTGCATTCTGCCCTATCTCAACAAATCTAGAGTCTAAAACAAAAATTATTGGGTCATTGGAACTAGGTATTACTGTGTTACTGGAACTAGGAATTACTTATCACTTAATCTTTTGTACCCATTTCTTGTTTACAGCATTTATTAGTGTCTATAGGAGACAAATGAATCTCAGATATGTTCAGTAATTTGTCTATGGTTATTTAACAAACCAAGAACCAAGTAACAGAAGCCTCTGTTCAATGATATCACCTACAAATCCACTAGTAAACAGCTGCTGGTAATGAGAACAATTTCCTTTCCTAAAAAGCTACTTCAACTAAGAAAAAAAAGGTATTGAATTGCTCTTTTTACAGTAATAAAACTTTCAATTCAGTAATTTGTCTACGGTTATTCAACAAACCAAGAACCAAGTAACAGAACCTTTGCTCAATTATATCACCTACAAATTCACTAGTAAACAGCTGCTGGTGATGAGAACAATTCCCTTTCCTAAAAAGCTACTTAAACTAAAAAAAAAAAACAAGGTATTAAATTGCTCTGAGTAATAAAACTATCAAAAGAAAAAAAAATGGAAGTACAAAGACAGAATCACTCTAGTGTTAAAATAAGCAATTGTGAATACAAGAAAGATGTGGCCAGGCACAGTGGCTAACACCTGTAATCCCAGCACTTTAGGAGGCCAAGGCAGGTGGATCATGAGGTCAGGAGTTCAAGATCAGCCTGGCCAAACAGTGAAACCCCGTCTCTACTGAAAAAGAAAAATAATTTAAAAATACAAAAAATTAGCCAGCGTGGTGGTGTGTGCCTGTAATCCCAGCTACTTGGGAGGCTGAGGCAGAAGAATCGCGTGAACCTGGGAGGTGGAGGGTGCAGTGAGCTGAAATCACACCATTGCACTCCAGCCCAGGTGACAGTGTAAGACTCTGTCTCAAAAAAATAAAAAAGAATGCAAAGAAAGGTTTAGCTTAGCAGCTAGAGAAAATGATTTTGACAAGAAGGTTAATGAAATAAGACCGTCGTTTGCTTAATAAAGTAGTGATATTAAAATCACAGACACTTTAGGAAAATGTAGATGTATTTATGGACAGAGTGTAAGAGTCCTATTTCAAGCAGAAAATACAACAGATATAAAAAGAGTTCTTTGCAATCTTTTCAACTGAACTCTATTAAGGATTCAGTCAAATTAAGAAAACAAAAATGCTTTAATAAAATTCTCTTTCTACTAAAAATGTGCTAAGTGGGTTTGTCAGACAAAATAAAACATTTGGGATATCTTGCTAACTTTGTATCCTCCTAGTTAATATACATGATTTACTCATATTAAATACATATCTACATTTTCCTAATGGATTACTACAGACATCACAGACTACCTGTAAACACACACTGTTTATCCTGAATCAAGAGGACCTGGCAAAGTAGAATTCATTTACAAACTAGGATAAATTTCCAAATGTCTTAAGCTTTAAGGTTTCTATTTCTCAAGTTAGTTGTATCTATATGTTCATTATATATTATCTATATAATTATGTTATTTATAGAGAGCATAAATGGTCAAAAGTCTAGAACATTCTCTTAGTCATTTCCTTATAAGTAACCCATCTTCTGTTCAATTTCCCATTGGCTTTAGAACTCACTCTGGCTTCCTTAGTTTGAGGTATACATTAGTCTTTACAACCCAATCTAGTCTGCTTCTGAAGGGTGATGTTAAGAAATGAGAGTGGGTCAGGTGTGCTGGCTCATGCCTGTAATCCCAGCACTTTGGGAGGCCGAGGTGGGTGGATCATGAGGTGAAGAGATCGAGACCATCCTGGTCAACATGGTGAAACCCTGTCTCTACTAAAAATACAAAAAATTAGCTGGGCATGGTGGCCCGTACCTGTAATCCCAGCTACTCAAGAGGCTGAGGCAGGAGAATTGCCTGATCCCAGGAGGCAGAGGTTGTGGTGAGCCGAGATCGCGCCATTGCACTCCAGCCTGGGTAACAAGAGCGAAACTGTCTCAAAAAAAAAAAAGAAATGAGAGTGAAGCCAAGATGCACTAGGATTGACGCCAGGTTGAGAGAATGAAAGTGGAAGTGAAGACAATGTTGAGGTAAACTAGGCCATCTTTTACTCAGAGATGACACGTGCTGCAAGAGGCACATGACATCAATCATGTCTGCAAGAATAAGGAGTCTCGTCACTGCAGCCAGGCAAGGCACGGGCAGCTTGAACCACAGCCTCCCTTTTTGGGAGAAAACAGGGGTCATCTGTGAATCTCTCAGCTGATACTTTCAGAGCTTCACCTGAAAAACACAACCCCAAATAAGTTATACTTCAAGTTTCAACTATGCCTATTTCAGAATTTATCAGCCAACCTAATTCCAAGTAAATCCCAAGACCAAGCACAATATAAAAATATTATCAGTTGACATTAACATATTGTCTCTTAATAAACAATGCAGTTTCAAATTAACATTTGTTTTTGACAAATATTCTGGAATTAAGAAGCACGATATCATTTTCCTGCAAAAAAACTGTGTTCAATTAACTAAGAACATCTAGTAAAATTGCTGTCAACTTCTATATTTGCTGAATCTCATCTCTTGTAAAAGGTTTTATTACTAAAACTTCAATCATAAACAATTCTACTAATAAAAACAAGGTAAATCTTTATTGAGTTACTTTCCAACTCAATGGATGTTAGAAAAGAGGTAGCCTTTAAGATAATGAGACTGCAGCTCTCTGATAAAAGTTTAACAGAGGAAAATTTATTCTAAATTATCAATATAATGAATAAACTATATCCTAAACTTAGTCACAGAAATAGTACTTCATAGTGCATAACTGTTAGAGAATATTGTGTCCACCATTTTTAATGCCTTTTCATTTAAAATACATTTATTATAAAAGAATATGTATTCATTCATTGTTTTAAGTTCTTGATTCAAAAGGATATAAAATGAAAATATTTAATAAAAAGTCTCTCTTTACTCCCATCCAATAACATGATTGATAGAGAGTTACCATATCCACTATTTTTAAGGTTTTAAGTCTAATCTGTTTTTATTATAAAAGTATTATAATACATGTCCATTACTTTTAAATAATTCACCATACTAAAGAATATCAAGTATAAAATTTAAAAGTCTCCAAAGGAATCCCCCAAAGCAACAACTATTCAGCTCTTGTATATCTAACCAGAAAATCTTCCATGAATGTATGATTTATGTGTTTATGTATAGATAGATACACACATGTTCTATATACATAAATGTATATGTATGTTTATATATGTGTGTTTTATGAATAGTTTCAAATACATTCACATATACAAATATATGTCTTATAAAGACAGATTTAATAAGAAAACAGTTATTTTACAAGTTGTAAAAGATAAAAATATAGAGCCTTTAAAGTAGTATCATACTAGAGAAATTTTCTATAATTTCTTCTTTTTGATTATCAATTTGTTTTCCTTTTATACTTGGAAATAGACAACCAAGGAGGCAATATAGCACAGTAATTAACATTGTGGGCTCTGGAGCCAGACTGCTTCAATGTCTCTGTCCTATTACCTTAATCAAGTCACTTAACCTAATTACTCTTCATTTTCTTCTTTTTTAAATTAATAAATAATAATATCTACTATTTTATGAGTATTAAATAAGAGCACGTAAGTTATATTTCATTTATACATTGTAATTTATTTTACCAGGCCCCTATTTGAACACATAAGTCATTTCCAACTTTTTCCTATTTCATATAACACTACAGAGAATGCCCAGGACATATATCTTTGCATGCATGAACAAGTTTAGCTGTCAGATAAAATCCTAAAAGTAGAATTGCTGAGTCAAGAGGCAAATGAATTTTAATCTTTGTTATATGTTGCCACAAAATTATCCAAAATACAATCATCCCATCAAAAATATACAAAAGGGTCTGTCTTACCGATTTATGGATTACATCCATAAATAATTCATAAATATTTTAGTTCTCATTGACTCATCAACCTTAGCATAAACAAAATTTAGTCAGTTATTTTATTAAATAAAATAAAGAAAGAATACTGTTTCTTATAATAGACAAAATTTGTGAAGAGCTCTGAGACTGTCTTAACATGTTAATACGTCTCATTTAGATCTCTTTAGCAATACCAAGTTAGGAACTAGGACTCTAGATACTTCTGAGATCAAATTCTTACATGCCCCTTTTAGCTCTGGGAACATGGACACTAAATACCTTCAATGTCCCTATCTACAGGAAAGGGGTAAAAATATGACTTATCTCACAGTGTTTCCTGGATGCTTGGATGAGACAGTTCATATAATATATTTAGCACAGTACTTAAACATGGAAAGTACTCAACAAAGATTAACTGTTATTTTGGGAAAATTTGTAATAGAGATAGTAAATTTTTAAGGCCAATAAGTGGATGATTTTCATGTGCTTCTCTGCAAGTCAGAATTGCTGCTGTGAGACTATAAAAAGTTAAGCTGACCTCCAAAATTTGGAGAGCAGATGAATGCCCACAAAAAAAGATTATTTTTTTCTTCTTGTAATTATGAGTTGGAAGGTTATAATAGCCTTTTTAGAATACTGCCTTTGACTTTACATACTAAAACTAAATATACATCAAAAATTATGTATTTTTGACTCTAAAAAATGTTGGAATGTTGAACAACTGGCTGAAGAGCCATATTCAGAAAGAATTCATTTAAACAAATATTATATCCTTGTCTTCATTAAAGGGATATAAAGAGGCAGTCAGGTAGGTGTGTTGGGAAGAGAAAAGTCACTCACAAAATACATTAATAAAGATGCTATAACTTAAATTCTTATTGCTGCTCTTGTCCCTAATTTCCCCAATATTCCTAACCCCTTTCAGCTCATTTCAGCCCACACTCTGGTCCTAATTAAACATCACTTCCTATGGGAGGCTTGGACCTCCCCCCCATTACTAAGATAGGTCTTACAATAATATCCTTTGCTTTCTACCATAACTTTCATCATAATTCATTATAACAAATTGTGTCAAAGCCTGTCTTTTCTTCTAGATCATAAACTAGTAAGTGCAAGAGCTACATTGGTCCTGGTCACCACAGCTTTCTCAGGATCTAAAACAGTGCCTATTCTTGCATATATTCAATACATTGACTATAAATTGCTGAATGAATATGTGCATGAATACTATTCAACTTTTGTTTGACAAACATTTGTCGTTCCCTATATTAAACAGCAGTATCCTAGGTATCCAGGATATAGTTATCAGTATGAAACAGTTTTGTAGCTCAAGAAGTTCAGAGTCAAGTGAAAGTCAACAAACACTAATACAATCTAAACAGGTCTCTGGTACAGGCCTGTACAAAGTACTAAGAGACACAGAGGAAGACCTACCTCTGCCTGAGGTGTAAGAAGAAATACAAAGGAATGTTCTAGGTAAAAGAAACATGTTCCAACTATGATAAGGTATTGATAATGATAATTGGTTTATAGAATGTAGCTAGTTCACTGTCAAATTGATTTCTGACAGGAGAAAATGGTTATTTTCCTAATGAAATAGAAAAGAAAAGGTACAAGTTTCCTTTCCGTCTAGAATATGAGCATCTATTTTTATAAAGTTTCATGTGGAGGGTCTACTCTTTTGAAATATCATTCCCAATCTTGCTTATAATGCTTTTACTTTGAAGTTTATTAAATAGGAAATTTCACTTTTAAAATACATACAAATAAAAATAACTACTTTTTTCTTGAAGAAATTCCACTCTACACATAAAAAAAATTTACTAAAGGTCTTGAAAATGCCACAAGAACTAGTTTCAGAAAACTTCTTTCTACTGAATCCATTTAGTCCTTTTCCTAAAAAATGGGATTTTTTTAATCATTAAAAAAACAGTTATGAAATGCCTGCTAAAATAAGGTACTAGAGTACATAGTCTACGAATACCTGTAGAGGTAACTTTTATACACCTATATAAGTTTAAGAGATGAAAATTTCTGAATATACAAATATGTAGAATCTGACATATAAAACTTTTTATATAATCAAATAAACTCCAGAAATACAAAAAAAATTGTTGGCCAATACACATATTACAAAATATTCTTTATTTTATAAAGCTTCCTACAGGTTCTTTTGCTGCATTTAAAAGTATAATTCTACTTTCTAAAAGTGATTATATTATTTAAAAACTTAAAAAAAATCAAAGAAAACATGGTATAAGAAAAATATTGATAGGAGAAAGAGAATAACCAAAATGAAAAGGGGCAGGTACTAAAGATAAAAATTTCCCCAACTGTTATTTGACTTTATGTTTATTATTCAATTAAGATTCCTAATATATGCATCTGGCCAAGTGATACAAATACATCATGGTAAAAGGTTTATATCATACATATATAACATGCATTAGTACATATTCATTTATTCAATATATAATAGATTTCACAGACTGAGACTAAACACTCAGGGTTTGTTTTTGTTTTTAATTGGGAAACTGCCATTTCGAATTTGAAAACTCTGAAGAGGTGGAAGCTTAAATTTAACTTTTTAGCAGACAATTATTATATTTGGCAGAAAAGAGAGGAGGATGGCCTCAATTCAATCCTAAACTTACACAGCTGTTTAAAAAAAAAAAACCAGTAAAAAAGACTCTCCTTTAAAATGTTCAAGACAGGTGGACTATAAGGAGCAAACATGTTTTGTATGATAAAAGAAAATCTTATCATGGCAGGAGGAAAGGCAGGAAAGCTAGCCACTGCTGTGTGGACCCAGGGTTGGGTGCTACAGCAGGGCTGTAGACTAGGAATGCAGTTGCATATGACTGCTATTACAAACCATTGGCTATGTTTTATTTCTATTTTATTATGTTCGAACTCAGTAAAGTCTTATTAAAAGTTATAATTTGTTTCCAGCCAAGGCAGAGTAACAGAGACCACATATCTACCTTTCCTTCCTGAAACCAAAAAACAGACCAAATAAATGCAAAAATGGTTGTAAAGCACTGGATGT